GGTAGGAGAAGACAGAGACAAATCTGTTCACTGTCTGATAGACCATTCCCCATTACAGAATTCAAAATGAAGGTCTGAGGCACAAAACTGACCCCAGGAACCACCTTCCTTGTTTGGCTGCTCTTAGATTGGCTATTACCCTTTGCTTAGATTCTTCAGCCTGGAGACACAGTTTAAGACATCAGAAAATGTGATTTCTTGAGGTTTGAAATAATATCAACATGCATTCTCCAGAAAGAACTGCAAAAGCTGGAGTCCAAACATGGCCACTGGAGAGTTAAGAGCTTTGTCTTCAAAGGATGCTGGTGGCTCTCATGAGTTTCAGTTTGAGCCAAAAGTGCAAATGCATCAAATCCAAAGGGATTATCACAAGGCAGCATCAGCAGAGGCAGCACTTGCTAAATGTCGTTCACTCAGCATCTTCTTGAAACGTAACTCTCAGCTACTTCTATCCTTGGATTTGGATTTGTACTAAAAGCTACCTTTAATTGAGGAAGATATTGGGTCCAAATAGTTTCAGATCAAAATGACACCCACCAAGCATTGCAGTTGTTAGAACAGCATTGCCAGTAGCAAAGCTCATCACTGGGAACACCATGACCAAAAAGCAAGTTGGGGAGGAAAGGTTTTGTTGGGCTTATACTTCCATATTCCTGTTCATCATTTTTGGAAGTCAGGACAGGAACTCAAGTAGGGCAGGAATCTGGAGGAAGGAGCTGATGCAGAAGCCATTGAGGGGTGCTGCTTAATGGCTTGCTTCACGTGGCTTGCTTAGCCTGCTTTCTTATAGAACCCAAGACCACCAGCCCAGGGATGGCACCACCCACCTTGGGCTGGGCCCTTTCTCATTGATCACTAATTAAGAAAATGTCCTACAGCTGGATCTTATGGAGGTATTTTCTCAACTGAAGCTCCTTTATCTCTGATGACTTTAGCTTGTGTCAAGTTGATATAAAACCAGCCAGTACAGGACCTCAGCTCAGAAAACCACATAAATGTTGGGTATATGTGTAGACTCACTCCTAATTCCAGCCTTGAAAGGTAAAGACAGGATATTCCTATAGTAAGTTGTCTGGCCAAACTAGCCATATGGGCAAGCTCTGAGTTTGATTGAGAGACTCCGCCTCATTGAGTAAGGTAGAAGAATGATCATGGATGTTTCCCAATGGCAACCCCAGGCTTCTATATGCACTCTCATGTACATGTGTACACATATTAAAAACTAGCAATGTGCATACACTTGAAAACTTAAAAAAAGAAAGAAATTACATAGCGTATCTAATTATAAGCTCATTTTAATCTTTTATACATATATACATATATATCCATATGTATCCAAACAAGGCAATTTTGTAAGTTGGCTTCATATATTTGTATTCAACAGTTGAGTATTTTCTCTTGTATTCCAACCCATTTGCTCACCGCCTCCTAATGACAAGAATTCCTTTCACCGTGTGTCATGTTGACCTTCATTTGTTTATTTATAACACATGGTGTTTCAATAACTCGGTTGATTCTGTCAATTTGCCCAGGCATTGATTCTGTTTTTATACCACCTAAGTAGATTTTGGAGTTAGACAAAACAACACTGAGCCTAGGCAAATTAACCCCTATGATAACAATAAAAATTAAATATATCTCTTCTTCACTGAGACTCCTAATTGAATTAAGCACTGAGCCAAGGAATGAACACAGATCATCTTGTTTCGACCTTTGGCACATCATGGATAAGTATAGTGTTAGAATCATTTCTCACTTTGTTGAACAGGAAACTGACACTGGGCTAGCTAAGTGACTTGCTGTTGGTCAAACAAATAACTAAAGGCAAGCCCAAAGTGTGCCACTGTATTTACCCTTTTAATTCTCTCAACTGAAAAGTATGGGCAGGAAGCTTCAACTCACAGGACTGTTGTAAAATTTAAATGAGGCTGCATACATCACCGACACCAAAGAGGCTGGGCACAGGAGCTACCCACTTGAGGTTGCTAAGGTGGCCAGTACTGTGACAGTTATTATTACCACTAAAGAGACCATTCTTATGTGAACTTAAAGCCAATAGCACTTCAAAGGTGTTTGTGGTCACTTGAATTTATACCAACAACAACAATGAGACAAATTAATGACCGAGTTTTGTTATTGGCTAAACACATTAGGATGTTCAGCAAAAAATATCTATAAATAGTGATGGCCATTTTATTTGAGACAGAATCTTATATTATAACCCATACTGGTCTGAAACTCACTGTGTAGCCTAAAATGACATTGAACCCATCCATGGCAATCTTCCTACCTCAGTCTCCAAGGAATGGGGGTTACAAAGTGAGCCACCACATCCAGTGGGGCACTAAATGTATTCATGAAGAAGTCATGCCAACTGTGTGTGCGATAGCAATAGATCTCTACTCATCATTTGCCCCTCCCTTCCTAGAAAACTCCTACTCATCCTACCACATGCCCCTCCCCAGTGCTTTTCCTCCTGGGAATTCCTTTTCTTACACCCAGAGGAAAGAGAGCAAAGCCCCCGCCTCTGTAATACAGCAGCACAGCACTAGGTGGTAGTCAAGAGTGGAAAGCATCTTCTAGGAAGTTCATACCTTTGCTCAGCAGAGTTTGAGCTATAGAAGGTACACAATTAACTGTTTCTTTAATGAAAGAATGCTTTCAATGTGCTAATTTTGAGTTGTTCATAACCTAAATATTTGAGGCTAAATATTGCAGCTCTAGTGAGGGCCAGATGCAGATCATGTAGCTGAGACTATTACAGACCCTCCAAGATGCATGTGTCAGCAGGACCTTGTCTTTCCTTGCCTGCTTGTCTTGGATTCGAGTTCCCCTTTTGTCTGCACAAAGCCCTCCCTTGGGTTCAGAGTCTCACTGGACTCCAAGCAGTACATGCCCATGGCTGTAGTGTTATTCAGAAGAGATGGTACGGATGGGAAATGCCAGTAAACAAAGCTATCTTGAAGGGAGACATCACTGCACCACGGGAGGCTTTAAGGTGGACGTCCCCTCTGACTCAGTGGACTTGTACAGGATTTCATGCACAAGGCAACTTACAGCCCTTGGTATCACAGAAAGGAGACAAAGTCAGAGGGATACTGGATGGTCACCCATTTCTACAACATTCTAGTGATGAGACCAGGAGATACAAACTGTTTAGGCAGTTTAGGGACAGGGTTCTCTCTTCTTGTCCTTGGCCAGAAAGGGTTTGGTTTTGTCCAGGCCAGGGGCCAGAAATTCCATAAGTACTAGGAGGCTCTAGTTCCCCATCTGGTTTCTTACTATCACTTTATTATTATCTTATAATCCCTTTACACAGCTGCCCAGTGGCTCTATGTGAAGGTGTAGCCAAAATTCCAATCAAGACACCTGGGATAGAGAGACACACAGACACCTGTAGGGTAGATCAACTGGAGTGACCAGTTCCCCCAACATGCCTCCACCCACATTTTGCCATAAGTCCTATAAAAGCAACTCAATGGCCCCCCCATTCTTGTCCCACGGGAGCTGCACTTGCTTTATCTTAAGCCTCCATCTGTACACCCACAATAAACTTCTTTCTAAACCCTCAGCCTCCCTGTGCTCTGTGAAGCCCATTCCAATTAGCAGCACAAAAACCTGGGACCACTGACACAGCAGAAGTTCTGTGTGGCCATGAGTTTGGCATCCTAACTTGTGAGTTAAGTTCACTGAAGGCTAGAAAGCCTCTGTCACACTCAAGAATCCCACTTTCTCCCCATTTCACTATCTGTGAAACCAACAGCAGCAGGTCCACTCACCTGACAATCTGTAAAAGTGGCCATAACATGACTCAAGGCTGGGGATGTAGGATCTATACATAATTCTAGGTGTAAAATATTTCTAGGGCCCAGCACTGACTTATCACATATTAACTCCCTTGTTCTTCCCATTCCTCCAAACCAGCGTTCCTTCTGAGGCCATCTAGTTTGGGGTTCAAGATCAGAGCCAGCTAATTGGAAGTCTATGGATCAGATTTTAAAGTTGCCTCAAGGGTGGTGATGTTTGGGTCTGAACAGGTATAACTAGGTTATATCTAGTGAAAATCATTGGGAGAGGCTGGAGAGATGGCTCAGCAGTTCAGGTTAAGAGTGCTTGCCCCCCTTCTTCCAGAGGACCAGAGTTCAGTTCCCAGCACGCATACCAGAGGACTCACAATATGTAATTCCAGCTCCGAGGGTTCTGGTGCCCTCTTCTGGCCCCTGTGGGCACCCACACACAGGTGGCAGACACTCAATAGAAACCTAAATATAAATAAAAAGAAAAACAAATCTTAAAAAAAAAATACATTAGTATAACCATGAAAGAACTTGCATCCCCAAAATATAAGAGCTGAGCAGCATGATGTGAAGACTGTTAAGAGTTTTCACAGTCATCACAGGCTGATTTAAGATCAGAAATTTCCCCCCCACCCCCCCACCACATTTTTTTTTCACGAAACACTGGAATTCTCACTGGAGTGCCCCCCTCTTCCTCTGCTTGGTAAGTGGATTTGTGGGAGAAAAGATAAAACAAATATTCATTGAATTTTTTTTTTTGCTCAGACTCTCAATTCCATCAAAAAGAGGAAGCATGAACATTTCAGTTTTGATGCAGTTCACACCTAACACTCGTTCAGGTTATCTCAGAAATTCAAACCACAGGAATGATAATATGCTCCCATGTTCCCAGGCAGTCTTGCCAAGCTCTATCCCAAGCGAGTCTTGCAGCATTAACCCCCAGCCTTTACAATTTCTTGATCTAGCATTAACTGAATTTTTTGTAATTTCTCATCATAAGCATAATTTCTTATCAAAAAGCATAATTTCTTGAACTAGCATTAATTCACTTTCAGGCTCTTCTCTTTTAATCACTGGCATGGAAAAATAATATGCCAGGAAAATCGCAATGGTCCAAACAGGGAAAGAGCTGCAGGCAAAGGAGAAATCAATCACTCTTCATTCCCTGGCAATCTGGAGCGCACAACCATGCAGAAGTTCAGCACCTGCATTTTCCAGCAAGAGGCTGGAATCACCCCTGCCTCAGATGCTCAGAATTGTTGAAAATGGATTCTTTGGAAGCCTCAGCCTTCCCTAGAATGAAGAAAACGGAAAACCTTTCATCTTGTCTATGTAAAGCAAGCCTAAAAGTCACCTTTAAAAAATTCCCTTTGGGATTACTACACCTCCATTCCACGACCCGCCCCGTGCCAGGTCTTCTCTGTGTGCATCCTCCCAGATGTAGCTGTAAGTGCAAAGCCGGGATCCCACAAGCTCTTGGTGTGTGTCAGCCCTGTCATCAAGAACAGCAGCTCAGCCTCTGCAGCTGCTGGGAACAACAGTGAGAGGTCGAATGGAGACAGTTGTGCAGGAGTCCCCTTCAGAGTCTTTCACATGAGAAGCTGCTCCACAATGTCCCTGAGGGTGAGGTCATCTCTCTAGAGCTGCCCTTCCCCAGGGTCAGCAGCCTCCTCATGCTAGAGGGAAAGAACTGGTCCTTCATCAAGATGGATGCAGAGGAGGTTGTCAACACCATGCTCGGCTACTACAGTCAATGGGGCCCCAGGCTGTGTGAACACCCCCTCTACATTCAGTTCTCCAACTTCAAAGAGCTCAGGACTAACAGCTCAATCAACTAGGTGCATGATCAGGAGGGTGTGCAGGCCATTAACTCTGTGCAGGTGGGAAGCCTGGCCTTGATTGTCCCTGCTGAGGCTGAGAATGTGGGACCAGCCATGGCAGGCTCTGTGCTCAAGGATCATCTTGGAAATTCTGTTCTACCCAGTGACCCTGGGTGCATTGTATCAGATTTTCTCTAAATTCAGTGTCATCCTCAAGATGATCACGTTAATCAGGAACAACCAGTTCCAGGTGCTGCTGCAGCATGCTGATCTGGGAGCTCTCAGCATGCCAAATGGATGACCAGAACACCTACAAGGGCTGCTGCACGCTGCACATCTACTTCCCCAAACTCACCAGCCTCAACCTCAAGTACCATGACAAGAGCAGACACTCCACTCACCCTAGCCTGCCCTCTGGAGACAGCTAGGGATGTTGGACCTAACCATGGCTGCAGCCTTCTGCCTCTCTGTTCCTAACATCCACAGAGAGCTGACCCCTCTGGCTATCCTATGTGCAGCAGCCGAAGCCACAGCAGTCTGAATTGCCATCCTAGGTATGGTTTGCACTGGGAATTCATCCTGCTGGTTAATAACCTGAACCCTCTAAAGCCTCTTTCTTCTTCTCTACATCTGTGGTGACACACAGTGGGTGACGCTCTTGTTCACCAAGGAGAACACATTGGTGCAGATAGCAGATGGCAGCCAGGCCCAGCTGGCCCTGAGCCACCTGGACAGGCACAAGCTGCATGGGAAGTCAGTGTGCATTACCATGTTGTCAAAGCAGCAGAGTATGCAGCTGCCTGGTGCGGGCCAGGAGGACTAGGGCACTACCAAAGACGACAGCAGCTAACCTCTGTACTGCTTCAAGAAGCTGGGCCCTGAGAACTTCCAGAACACCTTCCCACCCTTGGTTACCCTGCACCTTTCCAATCTCCCACCTTTGGTGGATGAGGAGGACCTCAAGAGCCTCTTCTCCAGCACCAGCAGCACATGGTCAAGGGCTCCAAGCTCTTCCCGAAGGACTGTAAGATGGCACCAACCCAGATGGGCTCTGAGGAGCAGGCGGTGCAAGGCACTGATGGAGCTACACAGCCAGGACAGAGGCGAGGGTGTTGTGTCTGTCCTTCTCCAAGTTTCCCATCTAGGTGCCCGTGGACCCGTGGCAGCCTCCACCTTTCCAGAAAAGCCACTTTATAAAGCACCTGAAGTGACCTTACAGACCAGAGGGTTTTTTTTTTTTAGAGAGAGAGTAATTTACCTTTCCCCCCCTTTTACGTTTATCTTGCCGTAGTAGAAAATGACTTGGGCCACAGAGGCCCAGGCAGGCCCAGCACCGTGCCTTGAGGGACCCACAGTGAAGGCACAGCAGTATCACAGAACACAGCTGCCTTCTCCTACCTTGCAAAACCAGCCTGTGTTGCAGAGCACACCCATCTACACAGGCTCCCCAGGTCTGTCTCTCAAGCTGCAGGTGAGCCTGGTGGTCTGCACATGCTCCGCGGGAGCTGGGGCGACTGCCTCACTCTTGGAGTCAAGCGACATGATGGCCCAGGCCATCCTTAGCTGCTAAGCCTCCTGTGACCTTTGTATTCTATTTGGTACAGTTACCGACACCTGTGCCCAGTAATATTTCCACTTGACCAAATACCTTATTTTTTCCATTTATCTTTTTCCATTTGTGCATGAGATATAGTTTGAAGTAGCTTTTGCAGCGGTGATATGGTGAATGGTATATGTATATTCAAAGCTTCTTTGTTCCCTTCACTCTCTCTACCTTCCTGGTGACCATCTCAAGGTGGGTCCCAGAGTGACCTGCCTCTACCTGACCTGCCTAGAGAAAGAACTCGAAAACCTTCCAGAGGTCCCTGCCTTCAAATTAAGGACTAAAACTTTGTTTGCTGTTCACCTCTGACTCAGCCCAGGTGAGAGGCTGACCCCAGAATTTCACTGCCCTTCCCAAATACACACTTCCATGCCCAGCCTGTCTCCGTGGGAGGGTGTCCCTGGACCCTGAGGTTCTATGAAGGAGAGGAAAGTATGTAAATATGTATGATTTTCAACCTGTGTGGGATAGAGTTTGCACAGCAGTTTTTGAGGTGGCAGATGTATACAACCTTATGGTAATAACCTTAGCCTCAATATTTTTCCGGGGACAGCCCTAATCACATTCCATCTTGTCTGGGATGGTATGTGTGTGTATGGGGAGAGGGTTCATTAAAGCCATTCCATAACCTATAAAATTTTTTATTTGCTATGAAAGAACAGATGAAACCATAAGAACTAGAGGAGGGAGAATCAGGCTACACCAGGAAGCTTCTTGGTGAGGAAGGTCTACAGAAAGCATCAGGCATTCCTACTGAGGAGCTATCCAAAGACCCGGAGGCCTTACTCACATGGCTTGTCACTATAAATAGCATGCTGCTTAGAAAGCATTCTAAGATGTTCTAATGTGTTAGGTGGATCCTTAACAGCATTCCAAAAGAGAGAAAGTTCTTCATTCAAGCCCTGTCCATATACAACTCCCTGTGGCTCATTCATGTTCTCAAAGGTCATTGATGTAGACTCACTATGAGAAAAAAGCTCTGTTTCCTTCCTGCTTATGCCTTAGACCTTAGCCCTGGTTTGTCACTTACAAATCACCAACTTCATGTCTGAGTAGGTTATTAGTTAACAGCATCTTTAGCATTTTTTTTCTTAGAGACCAATCAATATCTTAAAAGACGATGAACCATAGCCTTTTAAGATTCATGCAGTGGCACTACCTGGCACCTTGTACACAGGAATAGTGGTAACCACCATCAACTCTACACGACTGTTCCTTTTGTCAAGATACTTGTCCTTTTGCCAATAAGGAAACTAGTCTGTCTCCTGCCTTGTGTCCCTGTCTTGCTACCGACCCCTCCCCATACTGAAGCAGCATGCTTGACCTTCTTAAGATTGGCTTCTGCCAGTTCCTAGGCTCGTTTTTTGCAAAGACCTGGGAAACAGACAAATTCTAGGTTTGAGAGTCATCAGGTGTTATGATAATTCTGTAATGTCAAAAATAACAAAATAGCACCTAGCCAAGAAGCTCAAAGTGTCTCCTAAACTAACTGCTCCCTAGACTCCCGTGGAGAACTGAGGTGTGCATCCTCCATTCTCAAATCAATTTTCAGGAGAAATTGATTCTCGAAATGAAATGATTTTCTACACTGAAGACAGGGTGATGGAAAGACAGGGGCTAAGAAGAGAAACGCAGCCCCTCTCTCCAGCACTTTCATTGCCATTATTTTTTTCTGGGAAATGTGAGAGTGACCTGGGCTGGTTAAAAGGGTAGGTAAGCATCTGGCAGTCCAACTTCATCATAAGGAAGCCATATGATCCTACATTGCTTCCAAATAGAAATTGCCAAATCCTACTCCAGTGTGGGTCCTCATTCTTCCTGGAGCATACAGATGTGGTTTGAATGTAACTGGGACAAAGTGAGAAAGGGAAACATCTGTTCCAATCCAATCCCAACTTAGCATATACCAGGAAATATGCCACATTCTTTGTGGGGTGGTCAGATCCCCCAAAATCCAAGCAAACCATCACGTGTACTAACCTACCCCCAAGAGACTGAGAAAGCAGTGCTGTGCTGTGGAAATGGGACAGCCTTACCTGGCTTCTTCTCATAGGTGTTTACATTAGTCCACCTACTTTTTTTTTTTTTTACATTAGAGATCTATTTATTTATTTAAGAAGACAACATGAGATTGACACTATCAACAGACTTTTAAGTGCCCATTTTGTTCTGTTTTGTTGAGACAGATTCTTGCTTTATGTCAGGCTAGCATTGAATTTACAATTCTCTTGCCTCAGTCTTCTATGAATTGTGAATACAAGTATATACTATCATGCTTGGTGCACAATATTTTAGATTCTATTTACTTGTGTACTGTTTGTTTTTGTGGAGGTGTGTGTGTGTGTGTGTGTGTGTGTGTGTGTGTGTGTGTGTGTGTGTGTTGATGTACACATCTGTGTGGGTATACTTACCTGTGCATGTGCCTATGGAAGCCCGAGGCCACCTTTGGTATTATCCTCTATCACACCCTACATTTTTTTTGAAACAGTTTTTTTCACTAATCCTGAACTTAACTGTTTGCTCTAGGAGCCCATAGCAACTGCCTGCCTCTTTTACCCTACACAATGCTGGGGTTACAGGCGTGGGCCACCATGCACAGCTATTTATGTAGGTGCTGGGAGTCTGAACTTAATGTCCTCTTTCTGAACAGCAAGCACTTTATCTGCTGAGCCATCTCTTCAGCCTCACATCTGTTTTGTTTCTGCTTTTAAAAAATATCATCCTAATAGATACGAAGTGATACCTGGGTATAGTTTTGATTTAT